TATATATATATATATATATATATATATATATATATGTATATATATATATAAATACATATACATATACATACACGTGTGTGTGTACATACATACACACACACATACCACACACACACATATATATATATATATTATTTATATATATATTATATATATATATATATATTCACGTCTATTCGGCAAGTACCTTTCGAGCATCGGATTATCGACTCTTTAAATACGTTAAAGCTACATTGTTTATTTATAACGCCATGCGCATGTACATCGGCACACACCGGGTGTCTCAGAAGCCGCGTGTGAAGCCCACGCGCTTCGGGGAGCAGTCGATTTTTCCACGTCGACTGAGCGCCTTGGTCTCTCCGATTTGCGATATTAAGCAATTTCAGCGACCGACCCTTTAAACAACGAACGTCCGTCGAGATCCGTGGAACGTTAAATATGTGAACGATTACATTTCTTTATTTATCTCTCTTTTATCATTACATATGTACACACTTACTTCTGGCTCGCCGAAATTGGTTAATCCTCAACGATAACTATGCGCGCGCGAGCAATCGCTCCGAATCGAAACGCGACTTCTGGGACACTCTGTGCACACAAAAACAGCCCATTCTAATGAATGCCGTGAAATGTCTCTCAAATGAAGGGAAATGCGGCATACATTACAATCGGTTTGCCTCGGCGAGGTCTATTATATGGAAAAGGATACAACGGTCGGTCGCATACAACGAAGAAATATTTCACCGCATTTATTACAACGGGGGATAACTTTTATTTATATCGACTTTATATTTATAATTATATTTATATATATTTTTTTTTATGTATATATTTTTTTATTTATAGTTGCATTTGTCTCTCTGTATTTATATTATTTATATTCATTTTCGTATTTATATTTATGTTCATATTTATATCAGTATTTATATGTCCATATATATAGATATATATACAAATATATGTATGTGTATATATATGTATATATAGATTCGTCTATGTATATATGTAACATATCGCGTACAACATTGTCGTTTGTGTAACCGTCGAATCGAGATGAGGAGAAATGTTTCTCGCGCATCGGCTCTCTAGATCGCGAAAGTCGAGCTGTGAAAAAAGAT